TTTGATTACGTTGTATGGGGTACAATGACAATAAAGTAAATTAAAACCAAACTAAACTGAACATGATGTGGAAGATGGCCAGGCTGTACCCGAGGGTGGGGTCACACACATCCTCATGCCCCCAAAAGTGACCTAAGCCCAGCGCCCCCTCCCCAGTTCCCCTTTGAAGTCCATTGACTCTAATCTAGCACCAATTTGCATTTATTCTGGCTCCTGGTTTCTTGTGGCTGACATGATTTGCTTAAAGAACATGTGATGTGCTTTATGGCCATAATGATTCACTTTATTTTGTAAACAAAAAACATCCCACCACAGCGGTACCAAAACTGTCATCTTCTACTCCTCTCTTGGAACGAGGAGAAGAAAAAAGAAATAGGTAGCTGTCTCCCACAAATGAATGCTTTAAAAATTGGGTTTTGTGAAAAACAATAGTTAAAAGGAGAGCTAGATCATGCAGAAATGAGGCCTGGGAACACTGATAGGAAATGGTGAGATATTTTTCCAGCCTAATCATGAGGATTTCAATCTCTTTTTTATTGAGCCTCTAATTTGCACCCGAGAAATAGGACATCAATCAACGATCCACACATTGTGATGGTGGGAAGAAGCCAGCAAGAAGTGACTGGTCATGTAGAAATTATTGCTTCTTCCGAATTCAGAATTAATAACATGTTCTTTCTCCAGCTGAAAGTAATTGCGGTCGATGGACAGTTGAGAGTCATCTATGAGGACAGTATTAATTTTGACAAAGATCTGCCAGAATTTGGGTACGTTTTCTTCCTCTTGCCTTTGGTCTAATTGGTATACTCTAGGTTGGTCTTCTTTGGATAAACAAAATCCTGGGACTTGCAATCCTGACACATCTGGAAAATGCCTGTACAGGCATTTTCCAGATGTGTTGGGATTGCAAGTCCCACAATTCTCAGTTGAAAGATTTAGCTCAAAATTTTCTCAATCTTGGCAACTCCTATTCAATTTGACAAGGAACACAATGTTTTCCTAGGCACATATCCTTGTTTATGGATTTAGATGCTATTTTGGAATATAAACAATCTTGATGAATGACTTACTCCTGGAACAAATCTCTGTTGTTTTGCTTAACTTTGGGTCAGCATGACACTGCACTTAAGATGACATCCATCTGGGGTAATTAGCCAGATTTTCTGCTGACTAACTCACAGGTGATGCTAGAGAAGTATGCTAGTTCCCAGAACTATTATTTCTGCAGCTTCTCTGAATAATTTATTCTCTCTTTTTTTTAAGCCACCCATCTGAATCTGTAAGAAAAGTTATCCAGAATGCTGGCTGGGGAATTCTGAGAGTTGAAGTCCACACCTCTTAAATATGCCAAAGTTGAAAAACATTGGTCTAACACTGGCTAGAATTCTAGGATTGTATTTAGATATATATGCTGCCCATTCCTAAATATTCATGTTTATAGCATTGTTCCAATATCTGAGGGGCTGCCACAAAGGAGAAGAGGAAGTCAAGCTATTCTCCAAAGCACCTGAGAGCAGGACAAGAAGCAATGGATGGAAACTAATCAAGGAGAGAAGCAACTTAGAACTAAGGAGAAATTTCCAGACAGTGAGAAAAATTAACCAGTGGAACAACTTGCCTCCAGAAGTTTTGAATGCTCCAACACTGGAAGTTTTTAATAAGATGTTGGACAAGCACTTGTCTGGAAATGGTATGGGTTTCCTGCTTGAGCAGGGGGTTGGACTAGAAGACCTCTGAGGTCCTTTCCAATTCCGTTAAGTCTCTTATTTGAATGTTGTATTATTACTTCTAAATGAGAAAAATTACTTAGAGGATATACTTGCAGATCAGAGATATCTTTCTCACCCAGCATTATTTAAATTATTTTTTTAAAATACTTTTTGTTTTTATTCTGCCCGTTGTGAAGATGCTGGAACAGAAGTAGAAGATCCAGGTTCTAGTTTTTCCTTAGCCATGGAAGCCAGCTGGGTGATCTTGATCCGGTTTACTTCTCACCAAGAATTAAAGAATTACAGAGTGGGAAGTGATCTTGGAGGTCTTCTAGTCCCAATCCTATACGGTTCCAGGCTCATGGCTGTCCAGTCCCTTCTTAAAAACCTCCAATGCTGCAGTCAGTGTGGTGTAATGGGGGAAGCTGCGGGATTGATTGATTTACTTATTAAAGTTATATGCTGCCCATCTCGCCACAAGGTGACTCGGGACGGCTTACCAGCAAATAAAAGCAACAAGATAAAAGTATTAAAATAATAAAATTGACTTAAAATTAACAAAGATGACAAGGAAGGGAGCAAGATGCACTTGGACAGGGACAAGCCTTATTTTAGAATAACAGAGTTGGAAGGGACCTTGGAGGTCTTCTAGTCCAACCCCCTGCCTAGGCAGGAAACCCTACACCACTTCAGACAAATGGTTATCCAACATCTTTTTAAAAACTTCGGTGTTGGAGCATTCACAACTTCTGGAGGCAAGTTGTTCCACTGATTAATTGTTCTCACTGTCAGGAAATTTCTCCTTAGTTCTAGGTTGCTATTCTCTATTCAATCTTCTCTCCATTTCAATCCATTCACTTCCTCCAGAATGACAACGGATGGCAGGCCAGTTGGCAGAGCCAGGACAGAGTCAGGCCCCTTCCAGAAGGCCCAGAGGGTAGGGGATGAGCTCATGTGTGTGTGTGTGTCTGTGTGTGTGTGTAACTGTGTTCCGGAGACCAGAAATCATGACAGAATAGTGTCTTTACCTGGATCCTGCCAGATGGAATTCCTTGACTGACAGGATTTATAGCATGCCCTTTCTCTTGGTGCAGGTGGTATGGGCGAGATAGTTTCCCATATAATCTGGATCCATACCTTAAAGTTTCTAGTCCTGTCTAATCCATGGAAGCCAGCTGAGTGTCTTAGCCAATGGCCAAGATAGCCAAGTGGGGAAGGTGCTGGACTAGAAATAGAAAGACCTAAGTTCTAGTCCCCCCACAAGCCTAGAACCCAGCTGGGTGACTTTAGGCCAGACAAGTTTTCCTGTCACTTTTGTCTGACTCTCTGACCAGCTAGACGAAACCATCTTCATGTTATTGATTGATAGCTACACTGTAAGAACTAGGTGAGCACAGAGCAAGTGGTACTTATACCCAAGAAGTACAATGCTAAGAATAACGTCAAAAACAATTTTCTGTTATCCATTGGAAATAACAGGCAGTGTTTGGGAACAACCCTTCTCTGTCTGATAAAAATATGTTGTCCTTCTTGCACATTCCTATGCTAGGAGCAGGTGAAAAAAAAACAACCCCAAGTTCTTCATCCTTCTTTTATTGTTGTTTTAGCCATTCAGTTGTGTTTGACTCTTGGTGACTTTATAGGCAAATCCCAAAGGTACTTTTGCAGGAGGCAACTGGTTTTTTTTCTTTTGAAGATGGTTCGCTTCTCATCCAAGAAGTTTCTTTAGTTCTGACAGGACTGTAGGGAATGGAAGGATTTACATTCCTTGCAGACAGCTGGTCATTTACATCCTTCTCCTTGCTACCTTATTTCAGGTGCTGGATGTTCATCTTTGTATCAGCTTTGAGGGTATCAAGCCAGCAACTTCTTTGCTTGCTCCTTCTTGTTCCACTAACCATTCCTAGCATCATTGACTCCTCCAATGAATTTGCACGCATGACGTGGCCGAAGGAAATCAGATGTAGCTTTATAATTGTGGCTTCTACTGAAATGACTGGTTTTATAAGATTCAGCATTTCTCTGTTGCTTGGTCTGGCTGTCCATGGTATACACAATAATTTACATTAGCACCCTAGTTCAAAAGTATCAGTTTTTCTTCCCTCAGCCATTCTTAGTGTCCATCTCTTATGCCCATCTCTTATTATATGGAAGACTATTGCCCTAATTAGCCTCTTTAAGAAAGTTCAAAATAATGGCATTCCTACTTGATACTTCTGAAGATTGGAAGATTGTGCAGCTTTTGCACATTTCTGAGATATATTTTCTTAATTTGTTCTGGAACGGAGTGCAAGTAGTCATTGAGTTATGACCACAGTTGGAGCTGGTTGCTTAGTGATGAAGTCATTAAGGAAGACATCACATAACAGACCCAATGTTATGACCATTTTTACCATGGTTGTTAAGCGAATCATGTCATTAAGTGAATTTGGTTTCCCCAATTGATTTTGCTTGTCAGAAGTTGGCTGGGAAGGTCACAAATCATGGTAATGTGACTAATTTGAGTTGCCTGCAAGCACCAAATTGCAATCACATAACAGCAGAGATCACTAAACGAACTGTTGTAAATCAGGATTTATCAGGACTAATCTGATTAAAGCAGGAATAACATTGCTATATCAAAGCATCAGTGAAAGTGTCCAAATGTGTATTAGTTCAAAAAAACCCAGCCCTTTTGTTTTATTTACTGGCTCACTTTAACACGAGAACGGAATGTATGCATTTTTTCCGATACTGTAATTGGAAGTTGTGAGTTGAGCTGTCCCTTTTATGCACAAGTCACTAGATCACTAGACAATTGGGTTTGAGACAGAGCAGAAAAACAGGTTTCTGTATTGTTATTTGTTTTTAATATTCTTATTTCCTGCAGCACTCAAGGTGGTGTTTACATGCATGATGACAGATTATCAGTCTCTTCTCCTGTGTTAATGTGGATCAAGGTAAGAATTAATCTTTTGTTCATATTGCCAGTGCTTTTTGAATATGTCATTTTGTGGATTTGCTTAAATTTATGCAATAAGAACCTACCAGACTCTTATTTTGCTGGCAAGGAAGAGAAAAACCACTGTGGTATGTAGCTATTTCTTTTTATTTTTGAAAACCATGAAACTGTGGATTTTCAATTTGGATTTTTTGTTTTTGTATTTTCTAAAGGAGCCAAATATGTATCTGTTCCTTTGAAGCCAAGAGCCATTGTTCCTGTATGGAATACAGTTTAGTCTAGATGTCAGCTATGAGAAATGAGAAAGAGTTTAAATTGGTTTCCTAAAAGAACTATTTCAAGCAGAAAACTATATGTCGAGCGCAGCTTTATGTTTGGAGGCAGAATTTGCAATAGAAATGAAGGCGTGGCTATTATATTCAGATATTGGCTAAAATATGCCACTTTCAGCCTCAAGGTCTGATACATCCTATAGGCAGTCTTAAACCTATAACCACAGTAAGGGTAAGAAAAATGCACTTCTAAAAGTTATGGTCATTAAGTAAGGAATCACATGACCACAATAGATTTTACAACTGTGGTCTTCAAGTGAATCACCATATATACTAAGTGAGACATTATGTGACCATGAATGTGATTTTGTCAGCTTCCCTACTCATTTTACATGACAGAAGCCACCAGGAAAGTTGCAAATGGTTGATCACATGACCGTGGGGATGTTACAACCATTGTAAGTATGAAAAATGGTCATATGCTACATTTTTTCAGCACAGTTGTAACTTTTAATGGTTGCTAAACAAGAGGTCCTAAATCAAGAACTACCTGTATCCTGCCTGATAAATATTAATTCCTTCAGGAAACCAAAATAAATGACAGATTATATAAATTGGGATTCTCAAGTGAGATATTGATGCAGCTGGACGAAGACCAAACAATGGTAGCTCTTGAACAAAGAATATTCCTTCTTTGGGCTATAACATATTTCATTTTAAACCAACATTACGTCTGATCCAAGCAACACATATTTGTTTGGACATTGCACACTTTACACCAGGGGTCTCCAACCTTGGCAACTTTAAGACTTGTGGACTTCAACTCCCAGAATTCCTCATCCAGCAAAGCTGGTTGAGGAATTCTGGGAGTTGAAGTCCACAAGTCTTAAAGTTGAGTTGAAGTCCACAAGTCTTAAAGTTGCCAAGGTTGGAGATCCCTGCTTTACACTGTTATGGTAACCTCTAGAATAAGATTCAGTTGCTTTCTTGGAGATTTAGAATAGAATAGAATAACAGAGTTGGAAGGGACCTTGGAGGTCTTCTAGTCCAACCCCCTGCCTAGGCAGGAAACTCAACACCACTTCAGACAAATGGCTGTTCAATCCCTTCTTTAAAACTTCCAATATTGCAGCATTCACAACTTCTGGAGGCAAGTTGTTCTACTGATTAATTGTTCCAACTGTCAGGAAATTTCTACTTAGTTCTAGGTTGATTCTGTCCTTGATTAGTTTCCACCCAATGGTGGTATTCTACCGGTTCAGCCTGGTTCTACCAAGCCAGTAGTGCCGATGAGCAGTGGAGACCGAACTGGTTCTCTCCACCGCTCTGCTGTTGCTTCTTGTCCTGCCCTCAGGTGCTTTGGAGAATAGCTTGACTCCCTCTTCTTTGTGGCAGCCCCTGAGGTATTGGAAGACTGATATCATGTCTCCCTTAGTCCTTCTCTTCACTAGACTAGACATACAATTCCTGCAGCCATTCTTCATATGTTTTAGCCTCCAGTCTCCTAATCATCTTTGTTGCTTAATCAGTTCATTTAAGTGAACTGATCTGATACGGGCAGTCCTTGACTTACAATCATTCATTTAGTGACCATCGTTCAGAGTTACAATAGCACTGGAAAAAACGACTTATGGCCAGTTTTCACACGACCATTGCAGCACCCTCAAGGTCAAGTGATCAATATTGGGGTGCTTGACAACTGGCATGTATTTATGACCATTGCATTGTCTTGGGGCCATATGGTCATCATTTGGGATCTCCGGCTTCTGAGAAGCGAAGTCAGGGCAGGCGGGGGGAACCAGATTCACTTAACAGTTGTGGCAAAAATGGTTGTAAGATGGGGCACAACTCACTTAACAACTGTCTTTCTTAGCAGTGAAAATTTTGGCCTCCATTATGGTTGTAAGTTACTACCCGTAATAGAAAAGATTCTAACTCCTCTTCAGTTTGACCTAAATACTCAGTCAGTGACTTTAATTTTTGATTCAGAGCACCAACTGTTTTAAAAAGGACAGTGCAGTAACACATGATCAGCTGTTTTGATGGATAAAGGTTCTTGGCTTTGGGGTACTACTGCAAGTGCTTCCAACCAATGGTGAAATAGTACCGGTTCGGCTCGGTTCACCTGAACCGGTAGCAAAAATTGCTTACCAGTTTGGCCCAACAGGTAGTAAAAAAAAGCTCCGATGATCAGCTGATAGGAGAAAGGAGAGAAAAGCACAGGATCAGCCCTCCCACCGGCCCCTGTGCTTTTCTGTTCTTTATCCTCTCGGCTGATTGGCACGGCAGAGCCTCAGCTGGTGTTTGGAAAGCTGCGCGCACATTAGGTGCGCGCGCTCATGTGCGAACTGTGCAATCACCGAACCGGTAAGGAAACTGTTAGAATCCAACTACTGACCCCAACCCCCAACACTACTAGTACAGGTAATCCTCAACTTACATCAGTTCATTTAGTGACTGTTCAATGTTACAATGGCACAGAAAAAAAATTGACAAGACCATTTTTCAACCTGCAACGGTTGCAGCGTTTCCACAATCAAGATTCAGATTTGTGGCAACTGACTCATACTTATGACGATTACAGTGTCCTAGGGTTCTGTCATCCCCTTTTGTGCAATCTTCTGACAGGCCACATCAATGGGGCGTGGGGGGAGTCAGATTTACTGAACAACTATGTTGCTAACTTATCAACTGCCGTGATTCACTTAACATTTGCATCAAGAAAGGTCATAAAATGGGGCCAAACTCTCACTTAACAACTGTCTCACTTAGCAACAGAAATTTTGGTCTCCACTGTGGTTATACGTTGAGGACTACCTGCATTTTTCTTCCAGCACTACAGACAGTAAGAAATCTGTGTAAGCACTGTAGTGAACTGAAGTTTCTGGTTTTCCTGCCTTTTTCGGTCTCCCTTCACCAGAAGCTCTGGACAAGCAGACGGTCACAAGGTTTTGTGTTTGTCCTGCTGAGTGAATAGCTCAATAGGTCTGGGCCAGAGATTGTTGCTAATAAAAGGAAACTCCAGTGCATTAACATATTATGACCTGTGGTGGCGCAGTGGTTAGAATGCAGTACTGTAGTAACTCTGCTGGCTGCAGACTGCCAGCACTTCGACAGTTCGATTCTCAACAGCTCAAGGTTGACTCAGCCTCCCGTCCTTCCAAGGTGCATAAAATGAGGACCCAAATTGTCGGGGGCAATAGGCTGACTCTGTAAACCGTTTAGAGAGGGCTGTGAAGCGCTATGGAGCGGCATATAAGTCCAAATGCTATTGCTGTTGCTATATTCCTCCACTCCCAAATGTTTTTGCTTGCTATGGGAACTTTGCACACTTCTTTTTCTTTGCCATTGGCAGGAAGCAACCTATAGGAAGGCAGCCTGTGAAATATTTTCCCTCCTGTGGATGGTGTGTCTGGAGGAATGGCATTTTTCTTCTTAATAAGAGCTGCCCTAGATTTCAATAATTGGCTGCTTTGTACTGTCTGTGTCATTAGATGATTCAGCTACTTAGTTCAACATTATTAAAACTGGGTTATGCAAGGCACTATTATGTTTGCCAGACAATCTATAATTTGTTTGTTTACTATCTCTCAATGTTCTTGAGATTTCCTTTGCTGGTGCAGTTTTTCCCTGCTTCTTTAAATAGTTGCATTTTTATACCATTATTTAACCTAGCGGTTGTGATCATTCAAACAGGATGTCAACATTTTGCCCTGGCTGATATGCAATTTTCACATAATTACATCGTCTCCCCCATTTTTATTTTTATTTAATTCTTATTATCGTGTTAGTATTTAATTCTTATCACAGCCTTCTTGGTCTTTTCCAAGTTTTAATCATAAACACTATCCCTCCCCCATTTTTTTTAAATAAATGGAAGATAAACCATTCTGGTTTCCATTTTATCTGAATTATGAGACTCTGGTTCTTGTCTAGTTGATACTTTAATTCTTGGAGGCATTTTTTTTTCTTTTTTGAGAAGAAAAGGCAGAAATTTCTCCCCAGGATCCTCTTTGCCAATTCAGTCTCCTGGAAAGGCAGTAGGGTGTCAGTAAACACCAATACCTCCCCAAACATCTTGATGTTCTCCAAGGTCTCTGTACAGGTAGTCCTCGACTTATGACCACAATTGAGCCCATATAAATAAAAATGTATGTTTACCTCCCTTGGCTTCATGGAGCCACCGGTGCAAATTCATCTTGCTGATTCAATGTTGGCTGCACTCAGTGTTGTCCAACAGAATAGAATAGAAATAGAATAGCATAGCATAGCATAGCATAGCATAGCACAGCACAGCATAGAATAGAATAGAATAGAATTCTTTATTGGCCAAGTGTGATTGCACACACAAGGAATTTGTCTTGGTGCAAATGCTCTCAGTGTACATAAAAGAAAAGATACATTCATCAAGAATCATCAGGTGCAACACTTAATAATAGTCATAGGGCATAATAAGCAATCAAATCATACTAGGAAAAAGTCAATAAAAATAGGATACAAGCGACAAAGTTACAGTCCTACAGTCACAAGTGGGAGGGGATGGGTGATAAGGAATGATGAGAAGATTAACAGTAATAGTGCAGACTTTGTAAATAGTTGAACAGTGTTGGGATTATTTGTGTAGCAGAGTGATGGCATTCGGGGAAAAACTGTCCTTGTGTCTAGTTCTGGTGTGCAGTGCTCTATAGCGTCGTTTTGAGGGAAGGAGTTGAAACAGTTTATGTCCGGGATGTGAGGGGTCTGTAAATATTTTCACAGCCCTCTTTTTGACTCCTGCAGTATACAGGTCCTCAATTGAAGGCAGGTGGGTAGTAATTGTTTTTTCTGCAGTCCTAATTATCCTCTGGAGTTTGGGTCTGTCCTGTTGGGTTGCAGAACCAACAAGAATTCTGGTGAAGATGCTTTAATTCTGGCCATGGACCTTTATATAAATCTGTACAGCTGAAGGGTACGGATGTTAGCATGGTTACAAGCGCTGCTTTCAAAGGTTGTGTGGCTGTGGGAACGAGTTTGACTCTGGCATTTAACCACAGCTTTGCCATCTTGTGTGGCATCCTGCTCGAGAAAACTGGTTCTGCTTTCGGGTGAGCAAAGGCTGGGGAAGGAAAAGGAGGGATTGGTCCTCCTAGAGGTAGTCCTCATTTAGTGACTGTTACAATGGCAGTTGAAAAAAGTAACTTGTGACTGATTTTCATACTTAAGAATCATTGTGGCATCCCTATGGCCTTGTGATCAAAACTCTTGACTCTTGGCAACTGGCTCATATTTATGACGGTTGCAGTGTCCCACAGGGTCACATGATCTCCTTTTGTGACCTTATGACAAGCAAAAGTCAAGACTCACTTAACAACTTAACAAACTTAACAACCATAGTGGTTCGCTTAACAGGTCTGACAAGAAAGGCCGTAAGTTGGTGCAAAATTTGCTCAACAAATGTCTCACTTAGCAACAGAAATTTTGGGCTCAGTTGTGGCCGTAAGTCAAGGACTACCTGTATTTATAAAAAGAGAGAAGCAAAGGAGTTGGGTCACACTGCAAAGCTATTCTGTCCAATATGGAACAATATGGCCAACTGGGGAGACTGGCTTCTTAATCTAGAAAGATCCTGAGGCTGTTTGAGGATAAAGCTACATTTCTTCCCCCCCTCCCCACAGCTCTGTCTAATTTATTTCAGTGTTTATTTGTTCAAGTTACAAGCTGTTTTAGTCCAAGTGATTATGCACTATTTGAGTCATTAGAGCAAGGAGAGAAAATGTGTCCAAGAACCAGAAAACCCCCAAGATCTATGGCTATATTAGGGAAGACAACACTAAGAACAATATTGCAATATCAGGGTGGATTGCAAAGTGTTTTGTCCTGGGACTAATACTAGAACTTCTGTCTTGTTCTGCATGGACATAAATTTGGGACTGTGCAGTCCTGGGGTGTCAAACCTTGGCAATTTTAAGACTGGGGAATTTCAAGTCAAAGAATGGGAGGATGGGGAATGGCATTTGAAAACCACAAGTCTTAAAAGTGGCCAAGTTTGGAAAAAAGGGAGGGAAGAAGGAAGAGAAGGAGGGAGGGAGGGAGGAAGAAAGGAAGGAGGCAGGCAGGCAGGAAGGGAAGGCGGGAAGAAGGAAGGAAGGGAAGGAAGAGAAGGAGGGAGGGAGAAAGGAATGGAAGGAAGAGAAAGAGGGAGGGAGGAAACAAGGGAAGGAAGAGAAGGAGGAAGGGAGAGGGAGGAGAAAAGGAAGGAAGGGAAGGAGGAAAGAAGGGAATGAAAAGAATGAGGGAGGGAGGAAGGAGAAAAGGAAGGAAAGGAAGGAAGGGAAAGAAGGAAATAGTCCTTTGGGGGGTGATGCAGGGGTGGGATTCTACCAGTTCGCACCTATTCGCTAGAACCGGTTGTTAACATTCTAAGCAGTTCGGAGAACCGGTTGTTAGAAGAAATTACTGGCCTAATCCTGTAAGGAAGTCAGGAAGGAAACATTCTGGTGTTGCTTACAGAAACTGCCTCTCCATTAACCCCTATTACATTCTTGGCAGGACTAGACTTCCTCTCTCTGGAACGTCTCTGGTGTTTTTTCCCCCTCCTTTGCTGGTACTTTGCTTGTGTGGAGTGACCATTCAAAGTTAGAATGGCACTGAAAAAAGCGACTTATGACCATTTTTCACTCTTACGACTGTTGCAGCATCCCCACAGTTACGAGAGGCCAGGTGAGGAGATGCGTGCCTCAATGTGACTGATATTGAGTTGGCCACACCCAGCCAGTCACATGACCACCAAGCCACGTCCACCCAGTTACATGACCACCAAGCCATGTCCACCCAGTCACATGACCACCAAGCCATGCCCACCAACTAAGCCACGCCCACAGAACTGGTTGTTAAAAAATTTGAATCCCACCCCTGGGTGGATGCTATCTCCCAGGGAGGATATGGTCACTACCGCTGCATGTCTCCAAGGTCCCAGAAGATAACATGACTGCAGTCATGGGACCTGGAGGATCCTGGCACTACTAGAGCTAAGAAGCAAAAAGGAAGAGATAAGGATCCACAGCCAGCCTGGTTCTGAGCCATGAAAGGGCATTCCTGATGATGATCTTGAAATGTCCTCAGAAATCAACTGGCAACTAGTAAAGCTCATAGAACAGAGTGTTTGCACAATGGCAGCCCTTCCTCCCCCATCCAGGGTCTTATGTGGGGTATATGTAGGTGATTGTGTTTGTTATGAAAAAGGTTGTGAAACGTGTGGAAAAGGGGCAGAGCTTCAATGGCATGCTCGTGACCACCATGCCGATTTCCCCCGCAAAAGCCCTTCTTGGATGCTCCTGTCATCTCTTTTCTGTTTATTCCTATAATGTGTGAGATTTCCAAATTTCCAAGGATACTGAAACTGCTCTGCAATGTTTTTTTCTTCTTTTTTCTAGGCCCTGGATCTGATTCTGGAAAAAATGAAGTCTGCAGGCTTTAATTTCTCCACTGTAAAAGCTTTGTCTGGAGCTGGACAGGTTGGTTAAAAGGAGAGGGGCGATGATGGAAAATAGATGCTCTGGGCTCTGTATGTTTCCAGTTTAAATCCTCCCTCCCTCCTATTGACTTCCTTCCTTCCTCCCTCCTATTGTCTTCCTTCCTTCCTCCCTCCTATTGACTTCCTTCCTTCCTCCCTCCTATTG